GAGAAGAAATATCAAGAAACAAGATAAGGTGAGCCAGGTAATATTTTTATTGGATCAACTTCTGTTGATGAAAGAGACAAGCTTTCTAGTTTACAAAGAGCTCTTCTTCAGGCCCGGGAAAGGTACTTAGGCGTTGGCTACACTGGCGCTGTAAAGCACCAGTGTAATCAGCGCCTGCAGCGCTGCATGCTCGCTCGCAGCGCTGCAAGCTACTCCCCTCGGAGAGGTGGAGTACTTACAGTGCTGGGAGAGACAGGCAGCGCTGTGAATCCCCAAGTGTAGCCAAGGCCTCAGAGTCACAGCTAAATATAAGGTGAAACAGATTTTTAGTATAAGGAGTTAACACATGTTGCAAGACATCATTCAAGGTGAAGTGGACACTTAACACCTCTGCAGTCCTAGGACAAAGGAGGGTTAGTGGGTTACACTCCCAGTACCTTTCCCAGACCTGAAGAAGAGCTCTTTGTAAACTAGAAAGCTTGTCTCTTTCATCAACAGAAGTTGATCCAATAAAAATATTACCTGGCTCACCTTATCTTGTTTCTTGATATTTCTTCTCTTTCCATGCAAAAGTAAATCACTGCTGATGATATATCGTAGTGGTCCCAGACGAGGCTTGGAATTCACTATGTATAGTTTTTCTTCTTCTGGATGTATGGCACAAGGAAGCTTCGTGTTTCCAGATGCAATTGATTGCTGAGTTGCAATCTGTTGTATTTTCTTTACTGAAATGGCATCAAAGAATGCTGTATAGCAAAGGTCCCTAGAGAACTGTGAATTAAGCTATCAAGTAAAATGGTAAGATATAGCACATGTCCCATGTCTCCTTTTATTTGATGCTTCCTTCACATTTTAGTATAAGAACTTAAACTATCCACTAACTTTCTAGTGAGTGATTCCACCAGAAGGAGTAGGCGTCAAGGTCAAAGAAAAGTCACTTGCTGTGTGGTTGCTATGTGGGTGTGAAAAGCCTAAGAAGAGGAAAGGGTGGGGAAAATGTTGCTTGAAATAAACAAATAAAAAAGTATGGTTAGTGGATTAGACTTTCTGGATTTTGATTTTGCCAAGTATCCTACTGAATTAACTGCATATCTCTAAAATCACACAGTTAATTGTAAACTTATCAGAATGTTCTCAGTGGAGAGTGTACTTTTAAAAACACTTTTTCCTTATCACTTTAGATTGAGAGAGAGAGGAAGTTGTGAATTTTTATAGCCCCTAAATTCTTAACTGTTAGAGATAAATTGGAATGGCAGATCAAATTTCCTTAGGCTTACACAAGAACAGACTCAATTACTGAGAAATTTTAAGCCAACCACATGTAAAGAAAAAAAATTGATCTTCAGTTAATTGTCGTTTATCCACCTGCATTGCACAGTTGGATACAGAGTTTTATTGCTGCTTTTTAAAAATCACCTGTTCTTGGGAGAAGGGGGTATTGTATGTATGGGGAATATTGTATGTTGCTGCACTGAAAATAACTTAAGTGAAAACATTTTTTTGTTTAATTTGGAAGACTAATGATCATTCAGTTTTGAGTTTGTGTTTGTAGTATCTTCACTGTATTCTGGCTTTTACAGTGTGATCAAAAGTGAGATGAGAGGGGGATTCCAAAGATAGGTCAGCTCCAGGTGACTTTTTTTCTTGCTTCTTGTGATTGTGCTTATAAAATACAGCAGCACGTAGAGTCAGTGTAGACTATTTTGCAGTGTCTTTGGAGTGGAAAACTGCCTGTTTGAATGCTCTGTTAATAGATGAAAGGGTTAAAGATTTCTTACTTCATTGTTGCAGCATAAGCTATAGGACTGAACACAAGGCAGAAATTGGATACGAAGAAAACACGGCTATGATTTGAAATTAGATAGACAAGGTGGGTAACATGATACTTTTTATTGAACCAGCATAGTGCCTGAACTTTCACATCCACACAGGTGCCTTCTCCCAGCGTTGAAGGGTCATTTGAAGAATGAATCTGTCTGACTAAAATTTGTCTATTGTAACCATATACCCTTCCTGATTGCACTGAAATCAAAGGGGAAAATTCTCATTAACTTCAGTGAGAGAAGAACTGGACCTCACTGTGCTGTTCTAATAAAAAGCATCCATCACCTCTTGTGCTTTATTCATTTAAGGCTTGATACTGAGAGCAGAGCAGCAACAGTCCCTAAAGTCAAGTCAAACTAGCACTCAGCACCTCTCAGTATCTGCCCCCACAGCACTGATTCTTAACCACTGATATTCCAGGCTCCGTTCTTGTATCTTAAAGTTCAAGTGTAGAACTAGCTTCATAGCACGTTATGCATGTTTGTCTCTCCAGATAAAATCTGCTCAGTTTACAATTAAAAAGATGAGTTTTTTGTTTGCGTGCTTTTTTGTTGTTTTCTGTGGACCCTACAATCTCCACCTGGAATCTGATAGTCAATTTGGGCCCTTTCTGGCCCATACGTAATCAACAATAACTCTGTAGTTGAAATTTATGGATAGCATTGGTACCTTACATATGATCTGGAACAGAAGCCAGCTCCCTTTCCAATAGCATCTGTAGTGCTAACAGAAATAACAAGTGATAATTTTGGTCAGTAAAGAAAACAGAAATGACAGAGCATATACACCAGGACCATGTCGAATGAGCAACAAGGCACAATTTTTATCTAATTATCATTATCTGCATTGGATCCCAACTCAACTGTGCTCCATAAATTCCCATTCAGTTGTTTGCAAGCTACCTATGTGGAGCCAGGGTTAGCAGACTGTGGTCGTGAATCTAGAGGTGGGGGTTATCATGCACAATAGAATTGGTGGTGGTGGGAGTTTTATCAGGTTTGATAAAATGGTAGAGTTGCCCCAAGAATTTGGGAGATACAACATTAAGGACCAAAACAGCTAATGAAATTCCTTGTATGACCTGTCATTACAAGATATCAGAGCCATAACTAGGCATTTTAGCGCCCGGTGCAAGCATTTGCATCCCCTACCGGGTTTTTTTCTTCATTTTTTTGCCCCGTTTTTCTGCCCCGGTGGCTTTGCAGCCTGGGCGGCTGCCCCACATGCTCCAGCCTCGTCACAGTTCTGCAAGATACTATGAAAGTGCACATATTGCCAAAACATTGTCCTAGGCAAAAATAACTCCTAACTGAGACCTCAGCTGTAGTCAGACCGTATACTCTTCGATATACTTTTATTCACTAAAAATAAAATTTCCAAGAATACAGGCAGACACATATTATTCTCCTGTTAGGGCAGGACTCATGTTGTCTCTAAGGTATATTTGTAACTCATAGGGTGTATTTTCAAGCTTTTGTGTGTAAAAAGAGGGAGTTGTGGCTATCGTTTTCTTTCTGTTTGTTTCTTTACTGAACTGGTGCACTGATGTCCAATGAACTGGATTCAGATACTGAAGATGACCAGCCAGAATGGTCTCTCACTTTCTGCAATATCCTGTCTCAGTGATATCTTTTCTTTCTTAGGCTTTATTTACAATGAAATCATACTACAGTGTACAAATGTGGAAACTCAGCTGTAGCTAGTAGAGTTCTACCAGAGTGGATGTGTTTGTTGAAGAAGGGTGGTCTTGTGGTTAAGACACTGGATGGAGACTCAGGAATTCTAGGTTCAATTTCTGGCCCTTTTACAGACTTCCTGTCTGACCTTGGGCAAGTCACTTAATTCCTCTGAACCACAGTTATCTGTTTATAAAATAGGAATGCTTCCTTTCTCTCTCATTTTGTCTGTGTTGTCTGTTTAGATTCTACGCTCTTCAGGGCCGGGACTGTTAACGTTTTTGTATAG